TTCTTGTCTCCTCTAGATTCAACAACGCTGGGCCGCAGAGCTGGGCGTCTCGGCACCGTGCCGGGGCACGCAGCGGCCTTCGGAGGGGACCACAGGCACTCGCAGCCCTTCCCGAGAGATGTGCCACCTCAGGAGGAACAGATGGGACTGCGGCCGAGCGCCTGTGGCCCCTCGCCCGGGGACAACTCCTGCCTCTCTGCGACCACACGGAAACACGGGCAGGGGAAGGCGAGCGGGGGCAGCACCCAGTCCGAACACGGCACGCCGAGGCCAGCACCCAGAGCCTGACCCCTCCACACAAGGCTTTCAGGCAACCCGAGGAAGAGCTCTGGATGTCCCTGGATTCCCGCTCCAGAGCAAAGGCAGCGGGAGCTGGCCCTAAGCCCCCACTTGCTTGGGCCATGTCTAATCCGTCCATCTCCCGTCCCTCTCTGCCGCACGGGCAGCTTCCCCCCAGCCAGGAGAGAGGGATTTGCAGCACATGAGCTTTCTCTCTCCCTGTGGCTGCAGAGACCAGGCTGGAAGACGGGAAGGGCAGCCAGCGATCCCATCCTCCTCCCTCCGCCAAGACCAGAACAACAACAAGAGCAGGGCAGCAGCAGGGGGAGAGGGTCAGGGATTAGCTGCTGAAAAGCCTGGAATTATTTCCCAGACAGCTCCTGGCCAGGACACGGGGACCCAGCAAAAACCAGCACAAGGCGGGAAGGATCCTCAGCTGAGAAGCGACGAACGCAGATGGCTTCCTTCGGAGAGAGCGCGGGGAACTGGGCCCGACCCAAGCAAGCGCGGGGGAAACTGGAGGCGGTTGGGTTTGGGACCCTCCCCGCTGGCCACGGCGTCCCCCCACGCCGCAGAGGGGTCACACGGGCTGCGCAGGGCGCGCAGACCCCAGCAGAGGCACCGGGAGGTCCCAAACCAGGCCCCCTCCCTGCAGACCGAACGCCTCCGTCCCGCCGCGCTCCCCACGGGGAGGCACCGGCACTGCCAGGCGCCGTGGGCTTTGCTGCCTTCTACGCTCGACTCCGTAACGCCCCGGAACCAGCTGCTAACAACTCCAGCTTGCGCTCGGTCGCCGCACGTCCGACAGAGAACGCCCTGAGCAGCACAAACTCTCAGTAGGAAACGCAGCTACTGCCAGAAGCCACATTAAATTCTTCCCATTAAGGCAACCACACCAAGTTTACAGCCTGGTAGAAGCAGCAAGCCCAGCAGACGGCTGCTGAGAAGTTAACTCTGCCATCGCCGAAGCACAGCGACAGGGCACTCCGGAGCAGACCACCCTCCCGAAAAGGGGCATGCCAGTTGCAGCGTGGCAGGGGCTCGCTGGCGGCACTGCAATCAGGACGGCTCTGCGGCACACGCCGTGCCCAGGCTACGCGTGGCACCTCGCCCCGGCCCCCTGATGGAATGCCGGCTCCCGTGCTCGTGTCCCGTCAGGCCAGCAGCGGAAACGAGCGGCGTCTGAGACCTTCCAGGCGCTCCCACCAGCAGCAGGCTTAGGGGAAGCTGAGCGTAACCCCGAAGCTCTAACCCCTGACAAAAGTGCAGCAGAGCCCTCGCTCAGCTGCTGGTTCCCTTTTCCTAGTGTCAGGAGTCTCCAAACCAGCCCAGGACAACTGAAGTTCTTTCTAAAGGGAAAACTGGCTCCATTTTGGGTTTCACTTTCCCCGCTGTGAGGCGAGCCATTGCTCCAGGCTAGGCACGGGTTCCTGCCCTGGCTCCGGACTGCAAGAGGAGCTTGCCGAGTCCCAGCCAGGGGGCTGAGGAACCCCGG